TGCAGAACTTGCCGCCACCGGATTACGAGGACCGAAGATCGGACGGTGAGTCTCTTTGCTAGTGAGGCAGTGTCATGACCAGATGTTGATCTGTATTGGTTTCGTAGTAGTGATTCCGGCGCCGGTGCCATTACACCGACCGGAAGGTAACTGGATTTGACGACATTCTGGGGTCATCACTTGGTCTGCTGGTTTTCGCTCTTTAGCTGCGCTTCATTGAGGCAGTCATTTCTGTCGTTACAGTGTATGAATAACAATATTCGAGAATGTGGATACTCAGTAAGTTCATCAGACATGGGTGGTTCCTCCAACTCGCAGGGAAATGCCAAACTGTTCGCTCCACTACTCCCGACCATCGCTGGCTCGGGACAACTGCCACTGAATGAGATGAGCACTTGTCAAAAGCACCCCGTTTTCCCGCTAGACCTGCCCTGACAATCAGACGGTTTGCTGTAAATGAAAAGATTGCAGTCATGTTGTATACGCACCTCGCCATCTTCACAACACATCAGTACACTAACCATCCTTCGAGCTGCGCCTTCTGTACCGCCTCCTCCCACCCGCCCTCCAACTTATCTAAAGCCTTGACACTCTCCACCTCATTCTTCCCCAGCTTCGGACCATTATACAAATGCGGGAACATGCCCTCCCCGCCTCTCGGCCCACAAACCTCCGCCTTCGGATCCTCCCACCTAATATCCTTGTCCACATTATCGTACATCACCCTTAGCAAGTAGACCTTGGACTCGTCCTTGAAGAACCATCTGAGCGTGTTCAGGATCTGCGGGGCGGTCGAGAAATGGATGAAGCCTGATTTCGCGTCGAGCTCGCTGAGAGGGAGGACGTCCGGCAACGGGTCAGGCGGCGCCGCCGAGGGCGGGACGATCTTGTAGATGTATGTAGGCTTGTTGTCCGACATGATCGCAGAGGTCAAGTGTTAGCAAGCGGATCGACGCGGTGTGGGAGCCGCCATCAGATGAGAAGGAAGCAGCAAGTCTGCTGTCAGCCCGCCACAAGAAGGCTCTCGATAACTGGATAAGAGTTTCCATTATTATGGCGGCCGCTTCGCCTTCAAACCGATCCTGCCTGATGCGGGCGCATCGCTCTGTTCAGAAATTCCTGAGCATCCGCGAGCATCTCCGTACTGCTTAGACTAGACAGCGGCTAACACCGGTATAAAGCTCGACAAGTCTACCCTTACTGGACTCACTATCTTCCTTCACCTCCATCAACATGTCGACGACATCCTACGTTACTGAGCTTGTCGTCTTCGACGCCTCCGAGGCCTACCAGAAGGACAACAAGGCCGCCCAGGGCCTCGTCGACGTCCTCAACAAGACCGACGGCAAAATCGCGTACATTCATGCATTTTCTCCTGTAGCCACCCCCTAACATTATTCACAGCACCTGGCACGGCCCCGGGGTCGAGGACCCGACAAAGGGCTACCTCTGGGTCCGCTGGGAGAGCCTCGATGCGCACAAAGCTCTGATGGACTCGCCCACCTACCCCGACCTCATCGCGTCCATGAAGCCCTGCCTCGCCGGCGAGTTCGAGATGGTGCACGTCAAGTTCAACAAGGACCCGCTGGAGGCGCTCAACGCGCCCGCCACTGAGGTCGTCACGGTTACTCTCAAGGAGGGCAAATCGGAGGTCGACATCACGGCGTTCCTCGAGCAGGGATCGAAGATGGAGCTGCCCGGCGCGTCCGCGTCTGCGTATGGCCCCGTCGTTGAGAAGCCCGGCTCTTTCATAATGATTGTCGGCTGGTCCTCAGTCGAAGTGGGTTCCTTGCCTTTGAACGCGTCTCAAAAGGATACATGGCTGATGTGGGGTTTAGGCTCACCAGAAGGTTCGCGAGGAGAGGACCGAGGAGGCCGCCAAGGTGCTCGCTGGTGTCCTCCAGATCGCCGACATCAAGGTTGCCCATGCCAAGTTGACGAAGTACTAAACACTTGTATTAATACACCACACCGGAAGATGGAGAGAGCATTGCAATTGTATGACTAGACATGCCTTTATGACATCAAGAAACACTTCACTGTAACATGGGAACATAAGCATGAATTATGAATTATACTGCCTGTCATGTCGGCCTAAATCATATACAAAATCACTCGTAAGTACATCTAAGTCTCCCGCCAACTCTGGACGTTACGGGAGGTCATTACGGTGCTTGCTCGAGGAAGCCTCCGATTTCGTTGTCCGAATCGTGCCTTGGTCTTTGGCCCCGGCGTCTGGACTTAGATACGAAATAGGTATTGCCTCGTCCCCACCCGCGCCGGTGTCTGTGGAAGTCGTTCGACCTTGAGCAACCTCAAAGGACATTGATCCCGTCGCTGCTGTGCCTGTTATGTCTTCGGAGTACGCGCGACCAGTGGCTACCCGCCGGATAATAAGCAGCTGCGCGATGCCCTGCAACACAACGTTATTATCATACGAACCATCGAACTAGGTTGCAACGCACCTGCACATGACTAATTGAGAGAAATATCAAATTAGTGATATTGCTCCCCTTCGCGAAGGCAGCAATGAACAGTATCCCAAGCACAGTGTACATCGACGCTGACTCGACGATCATAGCCGCAATCGATGTATACGTTTTCGAGTGCTCGTCGCCGAGAACAGCACGTATCTGGCTGCGCATTGCGAGCAGACGTCCGACGACGAGGAAGGTGTAGACGATGTTCAGGGAGACGGAGATGCAGAGGTACGCAAGTTGGATGTTGTTGGAGTAGAAGACGGCGCCTTTGCCTGAGCGTTCTAGAACCAGAATGCAGGCGGCTAAAAATGGGATCGATATCAAAGTTATGGTGCGGCATTGGGGAGGAGGATGGAAGGGAGGCGTACCTATGTCGCCGAGGAAAAGTAAGCTCATGATCGCAACCACGAACCATCGCCAGCCCCAAATCGTACAACAGCGATGCAGCTTCCGGCCTGCGTGAGATTACGACATTACTCAAAATCCAGGAAGAAGACTGACCAAGAGCGCATCCATAAACCAACTCATAACATAATAACTGCAATTATCAGTGCATGTCCGCATTCAACAGTCGGGTAGGGGAGGACGTACCAAGCCAAAGCCAACATATTAATCTTGTCGTTAAGCTCCAGCTCAATGAGCGCCGCGGGTCCACCCGGGGCATTGCGTTCATCAATCCAGATTGTCTGCGTGTATTTTGCATTCGCGGCAAACCCGAGTGTCGCGAGGACGAAGGTAGCAAGGACGTATGCGCCGAGTATCCAGCGCCGATTGATGAACGCTCTGCAGCGCTCTGTTTTGGGCCTCTGCGAGAGGATCTTTATGCATTGCAGCGTCAAGGTCAACAAGATACCTAAAATCCATCGTGAGTGGACCTTTACAGGCAAATGAGCTGAAAACATACCATAAGAAACGGCCCCAAGGAGCATGCCATTGAGACGCGATCGTTCTAGCCAGAGGTCCGTGTCGGGCGTTGAAGAGGACATGGTCTATGCGGTCATGAACGAAGGAGAGAGAGAGCTGCTGGCATACCTGACGGCAGGTAGGTAAGTTTCCACAATCATGATCCCGACCAAGCGGGCCAAGCGGCCTGATTGGCGATGTTCTTCGGGAACCACCTTGCTTCTGAATCTAACACTCATGATGGCGGACTCGGCGCAGAGAAAACCCTGTCGCCTCTATGGAACAAGATGCATAGCAGTAATCTGCGCGGACCGTCCTAGATCTCATGAAATAATCATGCAGTATAGGGTAGCATCAAGGAGCTCATGAAGTTGAAGGAGGACGAAGACCCAGCTGGCAGGCGTCGTGAGTCGTGAGGAGGCCGCGGAAACGAAAGTGGCTCGTCAGGGATGCACGTGGCTAGCACAGCCTGCAAACCCTCGGCGCGACGATCGGACTACGTACCATCATGATCTCTACCACCATGGCCATTTTCCTCTGAGATATCAGGTCTACCTGAGGAACTCGGCTGGAGCTGGACTTCTCTTTCGCGACTTCTTGGTATCTTGAGAAGCCCTATCCTACGTGGATACACATGCACCTCTGGCTCGGATAAGACAGAAGTCCGACAAGGATGCATGCCGTGCTACCATTCTCTCATGGAGGCTCGAGCGCTGCAGCTCTGTATTTCTGATATATAGTCGCACTGCATGTCAAGATACTGCCAAGGGATACATTCCTTTGCTGCGCCGGACCCACTGGGACCCACAATATTCTTACACGCTCTCGTTCGCTTGCTGCTGCCTACTGTATTCATTTGGTACGAGCATCATCATCTTGTTCTCTTGACAACAAACAGAAGCTCTGATGACGCATATCAACCGCCGGGCGCGATATTGTTCTCTATCGTCTTATCTACGGTTTGTCTACGGTCTAGTATTTGTCCCGTCCTGCCAAAGCTCATTCAAGCCTACAATGGGACTACGTCTCAAGAGATAGAGGACATGATACCGTTTCATGTCCTCTATTTCTTGAGACATCTTCGCATGGAGTATGACCGTGACCGGATGAAGAAGCCGCGGTTGATCATGAAGCTCCTGCCGCCCCGAGTGTTGCGCATGTCGGAATGAGCGGGCACTCTCATAGCGGGATATATCAGCTCCTGAACAGAGCCACAGAATATCGCAAATGGTATCCGTCATTTTGGTAGTTCGCGCCCTTTGCCATTATTGACTGTCCTTACGCTCAGAGAGATGCAACAGGTCTGACTTGCTTGATGTCTCCACGTACGGGCTCGGGGCGCGAATCCCTCCTTCGCTTGTCAGCATCTGAACCAACCTTTCAGGATTGTTTCTTGTAGCTCGTCAGAATATTCGCCATCGCTAGCCTTTCTGCTATGAACCTGTTTACGCCTTCCAGAACCAGCTCTGTTGTGTCGATGGCTGTGCTGTGGCTTCGGCTATTTCCCCACTCGCTCACAAGTACATACGAATTGCGGCCCGCACAATTGGGAGAACTCTTCCGCGATTTAAGGGAAGGCAGAGACTAGACTGTAGTATAAAAGACATGCAAAAGGACTGACAAGAGGGGGATTCGAACCCCCGCCTGCATACACAGATGAGAAGACCCTGTTAAGGGCAAGCTTTCGCTTGAGTCACACGCCTTGGACCGCTCGGCCATCTTGCCATTATTGTTCATGCATAACAAAATTTTATCACCCTAAAACAAGCCTGCCGCCATAAGTCCCACTCGAACCTGTAGGGGTTGCACACACATTGCCCTCGAGATAATAAATATGAATTGCAAACTCTGGAAAGAAGTCTTCGAACAAAAGTGTACCATGCCAGAGTGCACGATATCAAGCTCCTACAATAACGTACAATGTACATCCGAACTTCGCGCTACGACTCGCAATATCTCAACCGACAGAAACCCCTTCAAGCCTCGTACGAAGGTTCCCGCGACCGTTCAAACTGTGGCAATCCCGTAAGACTGTGCGGCGAGTAATCAGGCTTGGATCGACCTACGACGTTAACATAGAGTTGATATACACTGAAGAGCCAAAGAATCGATTGTTAAGAACCAATTATTTAATCGGCTCGACACTTCAGCTACATGCGAACGTACCTTTCGCAAGGGTGAAGTATATCCCAACGTAGATCAGGGTTGCTTTTCCGGTGTTGTACGAAGAAAGGGCGATGTACTGGGTATAAGAAGCACTTATAATTAGTATGCAACGATGATAACGGTAATAAATGTGCCGACACGTGCCGTTATTAAACAAGAACACGCCAGCAGGCTCAACATCCAACAGACCAATGAGGTTGGTTGCGGCATCATTATATCAGTCGACGACGCACCTTGCTAACAGGCCGGTTGCGACAGTGTACCCGATTATATTTTGCACGACGGACCTGAAAGCTTTTATCAGTAAAGAGCGCGACCAGAAAGATTGCAGAGCAGTCGTACTTCAGTCGAGACTGGACATACTGGCCTGACCGGTAGAGAAACGTGCACAAGACAATAGCTGTGCCGAAGTTACTGAAGACGTAGCAAGCTATACCGAGGGTGAACAGGGACTATGACGAGAGACATTGAGTAGGCGACTAGTCATAATGAGGAGAACATGTATAACGGAGCCTTACTTCCTGTTGCTCCCATTCTGAACGACTTGGGTAAAGACTTGGCGAGCGGACTCTAAAACAGACCAGACGATTGGCGTGTGGCAGGGCAGCCAGATCGAGATACGAACCCGTTCGCGACAAAGACTGTGCCGTTGATTAATCACTGCGCAGAAACGCTGCAAACTTCACGAACCAATTGCGCACGCTAGATGGCCAGACAGTCAACGTTACAAGCTGAATTCAAAGTGTCGATGCAGGTTCGGCATACCAGTGGCTACTGCGGCAGGTATAACCTGCAGGAAAACGGGTCATCATGAGTCCTCTTAAGTCTTTCCCGAAGATACTCACCAGCAGATATACCCATTTTCGTTTCGCAACTAAGAACGGATATCGGTCGCGCGGCGTCAAACGTTAAATAGGGTAGTCCACGCACGATAGCTCACCCGGGCTACAAAATATCTGCAGACATAATCAATGAAATCTGCTAAGGTCGAAAGGATCGAATTAGGGGACTTGCATTTCTACGGTTAAGGTCACGACTTCCTGGAGGTTCATTGGCGCCGCCCATCTATGGTAAACTTTGATCACGCACCGACGGAATAACTTGGGTCTGACGCAGGTCCGAGCCATCAGTCTGACTTGCTTAGATCCGTATAAAAGGTTCATCCTCACAAGCAGGCTCCTGTGGGATGCGTGAATACGCGCCACAAGAAAGAAGTAGACCACGCACCAGTTTGCTTCACGATATGCGAGCAAATTGCCGTTGCAGCGGGCAATCAAGTACCACCAAAGAGAATGCAGTATGAGGCAATGCTGGACAGTGTCGAGCTTTACAAGTACTATAAGGTCTTTCATTATATCATGAATCTTGCGTAAGGATACCCACCGCCCATGTCAGGGCAACCTGACAGACACAATGCAATGAGAATTAGCCCGTAGTACGAAATGCTACGTACCATTCCTCTTAAAATCAGAGGATCTCCGTAGGAGTACCTTCTGAAATACCAGCACATCTGGCCGCATGTAAAGCCATACAATCTGGAGAGCCTGAGGATGTGGCGGATTCCCGAACCATGATAACTACTCACGCTGTAGAGACGGTCCCGCCAATCCACAGCGCACCAAGCGTGGAGCTTAGCGAAGACATAGCTGGACTATTGGATCCCAGAGATTCCGCTGGGGTTAGTTATACCTACCTCGGCATCATCTTTGGATACCTTGAACGCAGTGATGGACAGCAGATGTCAACCAGTGACCGTGAGGCGTACCGTTAGTAAGAACCAGCTACAAGGCACTGCGGGACCTGGATCCACCACAGCCTCACAGGATATGATGCAGGAAAGGGATTCGCTGCTACTGTCGGACATGGAACTAATTCAGCAGAGATAACTAAGAAAAGAATCGAAATAACCTCGGTCGCAGTACTCACCAGTCTGAGAGCAGCTCATCATATAGCATCTCGCCAGTACTTCCTGGGAACAATCATGTACGGGTATGTCAAGGCTCTGTTGACTATGTCAGGACAAGTCGAGATACTACCATATTTCTGGGTAAAGTATACTGGCGGGATAGTCGTGATCCGGCGGTGGCAATGAGCCACGTTGCTGGCTGGTGTCGTCTGCCCAACTTGAATGAAGTCAGATTGGTAGACATGGAACCGTGCCGGCTCGACATATGCTAAGAAACATTCGCATAAGGCCTGCACGAAGAAAAATTCAGCGAAGTCAACGCTATTTGAACTTGATCATACCCACCCTTCTAATGATGATCCCATCCGCATCAGCAGCGATGCAGGTCCCTACGGATAATCATCGCCCCCCCCCCCCCGATGCCAGCTCAGTTGTTCAAGGTATCAGCGCTATCAGCTGTTGGGCGGATGAAAACGCGCAGTCAACCAAGTACAAACCGCGATGATGACAGCTCACTCGGGGGAGGCAACAACCCCCGAGAACGTACCAAAGCACTGGTGCTGCCATCGCCGGGACAGGGATGGGAGTTCGAAACTAGTATACAATATTCAATACAAGGGAGTTTTGCCTAATAGTATACGTGTGCGATGTACATAGGCCCAAACCTACCGCCTTTCCTTGACGTATAGATGTAGTATGATATAGCTTGCAACTGTGAAGACACCGATGAAGATTCCCAAGAGCGAGATGTTCGGCCACCAGAAGGACTGCAGCAGATATATCAGCAGGCACTGATAACAGCTGCAAAGCTAAACTTACCTGGGCTCGTAATCCAAAGACGGAGAGGATAGTAGCGGCAGGGACATCCAGCTCCACGCCGTACTATTCCGGGAAGATCAATCAGTAGTGCTCAGGGCCCCAGATCAGAAGTGACGTACCTTGTACTCCTTCAACTGGAGGTAACGAAGCTCGTTGACGGCGAGCGCTTCAAAAGCGGCATGGAAGAACGAGATCGTATGTAGCCACTGGAACGCCTTGGGCACGCTCTCCCTGTTGATCAATAGCCCAGTGAAGAGCAAGCTAGAGACGCCGTCAGGCTTAATCATCCCAAATTCATCATGGAAACACCTACTTGAATAAGATCACTAACGTCCCGGCTAAGCTCGCAACACCGGTGTTCTCGAAGGCGACCGAAAGTAGCAAAATGACAGTGGCCGTGGTCAAGTTGAATAGGACCAACGTAAGCATAAACTTCCAGAATGCTGCGACGCTGGGAACCAAGCCGACAAGACCGTAGACAATGCCGCCGAACAAAAGCGGGGGTACCACTCTCAGCGGAATGATCTCAAACAGAAGCTAAAGACGTCCAGGTTAGAGCAGAGAAGGAAAATCCCTCAGAGATAAGTCACCTTGGACGAGAAGTAGGTGAAAGCGGAGTAGTATCCGTTCGCTCTGTAGTATAGTTAGCGAGGCTATCCGATCGCAAAACGCATGCACGACTCACCTTTCCCGCATGAAGAGCAACCGCTCATTAGCGAACAAGCTCAGACTTGAAAGGCACGAGAATCCAAACAAGGCCAGCGTAAAGAAGAATATGCCTAATCTGTTCTGGAAACCGCCGATATCGTTCCTAAACTCAATCTGAGCTACAACACAAAGCCAAAGATCGAAAAGACGCTCACGTCACGTTATGGTAGAAGAGACCACAGAACACTACACATCATCAGCCAACTCCAACCGCAAGCAGAACGAACCACACTCACATGCCAAAGCGATCGACGACAGATACTGCGCCCCAAGCAATGCTGGATCTCGATACAGATTCTTGAACGCCCTGCCACTCAGAATCCTAAACTGCGTTCCCCAACTCGCTCTTCTTCGCCCCTTCAACAACTCGCCCTCAACAGCCACATCCGGCAACTCCCCTTCACCCCGCTCACCCCCTACGGACCCAACCTCATCCCTCACAGCCCTCGCAACATCACTACTCGCGTATGCATCCACAAGCTCTTTCAGCCGCGCAGACATAGGCGCATCCGTCTTGTGCCCTCCGGACGTGACCGAGTCGAGGAGCTGCGAGGTGCGCTTCCGAATCGAGGAGGCAATGCTCGTAGCCGTATTCGGCCGAGTCTGCAGCTCAGTCTCATCTTCTACCACAGTCGACGACCGACCGCCGTTCGACGACCTAACCGATAAAGGAACGGAGGGACGACCTAAGCCACGTTCCTCATCTCGCAGGTTGGCATCGTCTTCGGTTGAGGAGAGCTCGGCTGAAGGACTGGCAGTACTGCGAGATTCGATACTCGCCTGCATCGTCAAATCGACTGCACACATACATTAGTCATGAAGTGCTGCTCGGAATACAACACACTCACTCAAGAAATCGGCGATGTTGAATCCAGGAGGGCAAGGATACCCAATAGACTCGAAATATTCCTGGCACTTTGCATACTCGCCCGAGTATACAGTCTTACCTTGCGCGAGAAGCACAAGCTGATCAAACAGCGCGACAATATTACTGCGAGGCTGGTGGATGGTGAAAACGGCAGTGCGATTGTAGTCACGTGCCAAGGAAACAAGGCTGTCGATGACATTAAAGGCGTTGTAGGCGTCGAGACCTTGGAGAGGTGACGGCTGAGCAAGCGCTATATGA